GTGGCTCTGCACCAGCCAGAATTTCACCTCCAATATTTTCTTTCATTCTTCCTCAGAAAGAAAATTTAAATGTTTTTAATTGAAATCTTGAAAAATTGAATTGCAGTTTTTCAGGATTTACAGTTTGTGACCCCCTCCACCTCCCTGACCCCCCACCCCCAGAAACAGGTGTTGGTTCTGCACTGACTTTTCTGTTCATCTGTTCTGTTACAACCAACAAAGCCAACTTTCCTTCTGTCTGAAACTGTGGTTGTTGAGCAGCAGAAAACAAAGAAACAGTAATAAATAATATTTTCCTTCTGTTTCACAGACGCAGAAGAGTTCGCCGACAAGATGCAGCTGTTCTCCACCTTCCAGAGACCCTTCGACGAGGAGAAGATCCAGTACGTACTGATGACGGCCCGGGAGAACATGAAGAACAACAGGGAGACTCTGCTGATGGAGGTGGAGAAGGCGGCGCTGCGTCGACAGAACAAGAAGTAAATGTTCCGTCACAACTCGTTCTGTTTGTTTCCTCTTCACCACAACAGTTGACGAAATATAACAAACAAATATTAAAACGAGCATAACATAAAACCTGAGACGGCGCGGTGATGAGTGAGTCACAGACCAAGAAGACGTTTTTCTTTTTAATCTAATCAACTTTGACACTTCAGAGTCAGAACATCCAATCACAGCTGAGAGAAAGTTACGACTGATGTTCGCTCAAAGATGGCACACAAACAGGAGGGAATAAATAAAAAATGTATCAGTCCATCGGTGTCTGAGGAACAGAACGAATGAAGAACTTATCAGGAATCTTCTTCCTGCTGCTGCTGCTGCTGCTGCTGCTCCGTATCCTTTCGATCTAATCTGTCTCTGCCGCGGCCTGAATTTGCCCTTTGTCATGTCACAGTGACTGTCTGTGAGTCAGACGCCGGCTTTAGAGTCAAAATGAGGTTTTTAGTTCTTGATTGAGCGACAGGATGCAGAGGAAGGAACAACAACAACAACGATAATGATAACAATACAGGCGGAGAGGGTGAATAAGAAAAACACACAGATGGAGAGAATGTGACGGCAGTGACTGAAGAAGATGAACTCTGGTCTGGGGAGGAGGAGGCTAGATGGTAACATATGGTCCTGTGATTGGTCCTGTGATTGGTCCTGTGATTGGTCCACGTCTGTAGACATTGGACGTGTGTGATGCAGATGGCTGTGAGTTTGGTTGACTTGTGGTTCTGTGCTGAAGCAGCTGGGTTCTGATGATTCTGATGATGTCATCATGTGGACTTTTGGTCATTTATAAACATCTAGTTTTTGTTTTTTTTGCCTTTTTGCAGCAGGTTTGGCAGAAACTCCCACATGACCAAGTGCGATGACGTCGTATCACGTGACCGTCTCACTGATGGGTTCATATTTCACTACAGTTTTCATGCAGTAACAGTACAGGAAGTTGGATCACAGTCTTTGTCACGAGTTACAATTTAACACCAGGGGGCGCACTGCATCCACGGTTATAGGCGTCGTTCCACCCTGTACTCTCTCTCTCTCTCTCTCTCTCTCACACACACACACACACACACACTGCAGCTGGGCTGGAGTCCTAAAACTCCTGCTGCTCTCTGGGCCACGGTAGATTTTGGAAATGAATCAGAGCAGAGTGATTTTAATCACGTTAATTAAATTAACCGCTGTCAGGATTTCACCGAAGCAGAGTCTGTTTACACTCCACCGCCCCCCCGTCATCAACAAATAAATATATATACATATATACATGCATATATATATCTATGATTCTAGTCTGATGTCGACATTTATTACCTTTAATTTTAATCATTATGACTGTAGTAAATCATGACTTTTGAACTAGATCACTGTCAGGAGGTGACGCCTCAGATTCACTGAGCGATCTCTCTCTCTCTCTCTGGTCCCCTCCCCTCCCTCCCCCTCCCCTCTCCCCCCTGCCTCTGTCAGTGTGAGCGCTCTATTTGCGCTGAGCTTTGTCAAAGTTCAGACAGACCAGAGAGAAAAAAAGAAGAAACTAATATGATTTAGAAAAAGAAAAATAGGGGAAAAGATCAGGTCCAATCACAGTTCGGTTCTGGTTCAATTCTAACAGTGACGGAGACACACACACACACGAACACACACACACATACACACATACACGAACGGAGGGAAGGAGTGCAGATCCAGACGGTGGAGATGCTGAGATGCTGCCAGAGCCCGAGCTCCAGGACGACGCTGTGAGTGCGGATCTGATGCCGGGATTCGAACCCTCTCCAAGCTCCGCGTGAGGGAGAAGACAGCCAGAGGAGGAGGACCAGAAGAACCGGGGAGGAGGCGGGGGAAAATGCTCAAAGTTTGCCCGCGTCAAGTGGAAGTGTTAGCCCGCCAAGCGCCGACCCGCAAACAGCTGCAGAACCGGGGCATGAATTGAGGCGAAGTATGCGTGTCGTCTGGGATTTATCTGTGATTCTGCAAACATGTCTCATCTGCACGTCCTCAGGTAAGAAGACAGACGGGGAGGTTTAACAGACTGACTGTTGGACTGGACTGACGGCAGCACCGACAGTCAGGACCGAAGACTGACAGCTCAGCTGTCAATCAATGTCATCATTATACAGGATTATACAGGACTGCAGACTCACACTGTGGACACACACACACACACAGATACATGTCATACAGTCCTGCTCTGTAACTCAATTCAGCAGCATCTTCATCTTCACTATAATCTGTATCTTGTACATTAACTTTATCTTCATCTTCATCATCTTCATCACACACACAGACCACAGTTAGTTCATTTCACCTGTAGACTCTTCTAACCATTATGACTAATTTAACCCTAAACTTCACTGCATTTTCACATCTTTATCCTTAATTTTACCATCGACTCAAAAATGATGTTCTTTCAAATTCAGAGCCGGGATTCGATCCAAAAAATGATGTTCTTTCAAATTCAGAGCCGTGATTCGATCCAAACACCATGTCAGGTGACCTTATCACTCACTTCAACTTCAAACATGTCCTTTTATTTTCTTTTAAATCTGTCCATAATTCACATCACTGTCCCTGAAAATAAACTCTAACCAGAACCACAGAGCTAAGACTCTGATCTGGTTCTGATCTGGTTCTGATCCGGTCTAACTGAACATGTCGAGGTCAGAATTCCCACAGAAGAACGTCCTAAAGAGGTCATCAAAATGCACACACACCCAGACCCTCACACACACACACACACACTGCCACTCGCAGTGGGATGAGTCACAGTGTGACACTCGTCACTCGTACAGACGTCAGGTGTCAGACCTCAGATCATTTACTGTGATGTCATCATCAAGTCTTTTACGTGACATTATGAACTGGACTATGTTTTATTTATTTTTAATTTTTTATGCTAAACAGCTTCATGTCTTTATTGGTTTGTGAGCTTCATCATCATCATCATCATCATAACTATTCTGTAATTTTTGGCATTTTTGAAGATGGCAGTGATAGAAAAAAGGGGGTTATGTGAGGTGGGGGGGGCAGTGGTAGAGAAGATTCTGTTTTCCAGGCTGGATGCAGAAAGAGAGAGAGGGAGAGGCAGAGGGAGAGAGAGAGAGAGATGGGGGAGTGTAGTTCTGCATCTAAAAAGCTGTCGGTTTGAGGATGAAGTTTTTGGGGGCAGAGGGTGTCGGTGTCGA